GATGACCCTCTTCCAGGCCAGCCCTCTGCTATGGCCTGGGAGTGCAGTGGAGGATGGCCCAAGTACTTGGGCCCTGTACCCCATGGGAAACCAGGAGAAGCACCTGGCTCCTTGTTTCAGATCAGTACGATGCGCTGGCCACCGCGCCGGCCAGGGCGGCCATTGGAGGGTGTACCAACGGCAAAAGGAAGACCTTTCTCTCTCTCTCTCTCTCTCTCACTCACTGTCCACTCTGTCTGTCAAAAATTAAAAAAGAAAAAATCCAGGGGACCGGCCGGCGCCATGGCTCACTAGGCTAATCCTCCGCCTGCAGAGCTGGCACCCTGGGTTCTAGTCCCAGTTGGGGCACCGTATTTTCGTAAAAAGTGAAAAGCAAGTTACGTTAATTTAATATAAGAGATAAATGCAACAAAGAAGATTTAATTTTGGCAATGTTTATTTGAAATAAACTTAATTCATCATGTTTTAATTGATGACAAATGAATTAGGAAGTTATTTTTGACAGGATAGAGGTTTCTTAACCTAAAAATATTTTACATTAATACCTTCAGTAAAGATCCCCTACAATGTATTTACATGTATTTTAGTAGGTAACTAACGGCAGCCAGTGCTGCAGCTCACATGCCTAATCCTAGCCTCCGGCCTTTCCTCTTTATCTCCTTATTGGAAGGGTTTGGAAATCACGGATTTTAATTACCTTTTCCATGGGAGTTCTCACCGGTGGAGCCATCTGGTCCTGGACTTTTCTTCTTGTCTGTTTGGTTTGTTTGTTTTGCTTTCCCTGCTGCTACAGTCTCTTTGCAAATTAGAAGTGTATTCAGAGTTTCTTGTTTCACTGTATCCAGTTTTAGTGGTTTGCATCTTTCTGCGAGTCAATGCACTCTATCTAGGTTGACCAAGTCCTTGTGCCGTGGTTTTTCTACAGTGTTTTTGGATCATTATTTTGGAAGGTTGGTAGCGATGTCCTCTCTGTCGTTTCTGTTGTCAAGTCGCTTGAGTCTGTTCTCCTTTTCCCCCCTGTTTTCCTGTGGATCAACGTTTGGTCAGGTTGACTGAGTTTTCAAGCCCTGTAGTTTGGTCTCACTGAATGTCTGGTGTGATATTTTCTGTGCCGTTGGGTGGATTTCCGTTTGAACCTTCTTCCTCTTTGCAGTTTCTTAAGATGTACTTTGCTGTTCTAGTGTTTGAAGGTAAAATTGGGTTCATGGATCTGATGTCTGTATTCTGTGTACTAATCCAGTTTCCCATGTGCGATTAGCCCTGTCAAAATGGAAAGCTGTGTGGATGTACCCACTACTGGGAACACATTGAAGGAAAAGAAGTCATTGTGTAGAGAGGTTTTCAGAGGCCTGTGCTTATTGCAGTAGGATGCACAGTAGGCTATGCAGTCTGTATATGCGTGGATGTTGTCCATTCCCATAATGTCTTTATTCAGTCTTCAGGTGATGGGCATGTTGGCTGATTGCATATCTTTGCTACTGTGCATTGAGCTGTAGTAAATATGCAGGCAGAGATCACTCTTTTTTCGTATGCTGATTTCATTTCCCTTGGGCATATTCCCAGGGGTAGAATGGCTGGCTCATATGGTACGTCTGTATTCAGATTTCTGACTTACCTCCCTACTCTCTTCCACAGCGGCGATACCAGTTTACAATCTGACCAGCAGTGGATGAGGGTGCCTCTTCCCCCACATCCTCAAGGCCGTTGTAGTATCGATTTGCATTTCCCTGATGGCTGGTGATCCTGAGCATTTCTGCATGTGTTTACTGGCCATTTAGATTTCCTTTCTTGAAATATTTTGCCTGCTGAAGTCCCTTGCCCATTTCTTGAGTGGGTGGTTTGTTTTGCTGTTGTTGACTTTCTTGAAAGTTTCTGGCAGTTGATTCTTTATCAGTTGCATGCTTTGCAACTGTTGGTTTGCCTCTTCACTTTGCTGAGTGTCTCTTTGGCAGTGCAGAAGCTGCTCAATGTGTTGTTGTTGTTGTTGTTGTTGTGTGTGTGTGTGTGTGTTTGGTGTCCTGTTCTATTTCATTCTTTAATCCTTTGTGATTCTCAGCTGTTGAACATCCTTGGTTATGTTGATTCCAAGCTATTTTCTTTTCTTTGTAGCTATGTGAACGGGAATGGTCTTTGAAGTCCTTTCTCAGCCATGCCATTGTCTGTGTATACAAATAGGCTGCTGATGGTCTCTCCTGCCACTTTACCACACTCTGCTCTGAGTTTCGATAGTCTCTTAGTGGAGTCTTTTGGACCTCCTATATATGGAATTATGTCATCTGCAAATAGGGATAGTTGGAATTCCTCCTTCCCAATTTGTATGTGACATTGAGCAATGAGAGGAGAAAGTACCAACATGATAATGGGCATGCCGAAAATGTGCACAGTGACCTCAGATGCTTCCTTTCTGTATTCTGTCTTGCTTTGTGGAAGACACGATTTGGTCTATTCCCAACATGATCCATACTTTAAAGGCAGGGCTAGACTGTGGAGGGCGGGGACTGGGA